ATAAAAGCTCAATGAGCTGCGAACAGAATAAAGACCGACTCAGCTCCGCGAGTCGAAGAGACGGTTACTTTTCGTATGTCTCAACGCGTGATAGCGAAGTGCAAAAAACGACCCTACTGTCGGTCGATAGCCAAAGAGCACGATTTTGCTCACCATGCTTACTTACGGCTACCCCTACTCCGACGGCGTGGAGTCAACAATGCAAAACCCCCCCACCATCAGTTTCGACCCCTGGCGCACCAACAACATGCAACGGTAAGACTTCTGCATCCGCACTAAATTTGTCAGCAACAACTACAGCTACGGCAAAAAAACCAACGACAACCACATCTACGACTATTATTTCGGAATCGACTGCAACCGCAGCTCTTAATACAACGGCAACAAAAACAACGACAACAAATCAAACCCAAAACAAAATTCAGCAAGCGGGTCCGGCCATACAGACCGGACTAGATCGGTACATCCATATCAAGCGTAAGCTTAGCCCGCAGAACACCGCGGTAGGTAACAAGTCAAAAATAAACCGTGTCCAAGTAAAAGATATATTACCCGGGAGATCCGACAGCAATCGATTTGCGCTTCTAGCAGAAAATGAATCAGGACGGGCTCAGGAGACCCAACCGAAACCTAAGCCCCCACCAATTTACATTAGGGAGAAAATCTCGAACGCCCTGGTCAACAAAATTTTTGCGCTGACCGGAGACGGAAACTTTCATGTTGTTCCGGTCACAAAAGGGATATCCATGAAACCAAGCTTCAGACCAAGTCTGAAGAACATTTCCGAGCAGTATCCAAATACCTGGAGGAAGCTAGGAAAAGCTACTACACGTACCAACGAAAAAGCAGCAAGGGCCTGCAAGTGGTAATAAAAGGAATCGAGCCCGACGTAACCGCCAAGGAAGTTATCGATGCTCTCAAGGAAAAAGGGTTTTCTGCAAAGAACGTCAGTAACATTATAAACAGGAAAAAAGAGCCGCAACCACTCTTCAGGGTCGAGCTGGAGCCAGACAGCAGAGTCTTGAAGAAAAATGAAGTGCACTCCATTTATAACCTGCAATACTTATTGCACCGAAGAATTAACGTGGAAGAGCCACATAAAAGGAACGGCCCAGTGCAATGCACAAATTGTCAGGAGTATGGACACACCAGGGCATACTGTTCGCTTCGAACAGTCTGTGTAGCTTGTGGAGACTTCCACAATTCGGCTAACTGCCCTGCCAACAAAGAAGACCCCAAAAAGAAAAAAATGCGTTAACTGCCAAGGTAACCACACGGCAAACTACAGGGGCTGTCCGGTCTACAAGGAGATGAAGGACCGCATGCGAAAAGTGATAGCAACGCGTCATCAGAATACCCAAAATGCGTACACTTACTCGCGTACGATGCCGGAAGTATTTTTCGGCACGGCTGCAAGATCCTCCTTTGGTCAACTAAATACCCAGAAAGGATTCTCATACGCCGATGCCCTTCGATCGGGGACGGAAAACCCACTCCAGTCTAATCTAGGAAAAGCTCAGCAGATCCAAGAACAGTCGCAAAGCACTCTGGAAACTATGATGGTCACCATGCAACAAAGTATGATGGAACTCATGTCATTCATGAAAACGACCATGCAAACACTGGTTCAAAACCAGAACATGGTGTTACAGCTACTTGCAGCTAAGCAGTCCAAATAATCAGATGGCAAATCTACGAATAACAATGTGGAACGCCAATGGCGTTTCACGGCACAACCTTGAAGTAACACAGTTCCTGAATGATAATCATATCGACATTATTTTACTGGTAGAGGTGTACCTCACAAACAAATACAATTTCCAAATAAGAGGCTACACTTTCTACCGCACAGACCATCCAGATGGTAAAGCCCACGGCGGAACCGGCATCCTAATCAGGGAACGCATCAAGCACCACTTTCACCAAAGGTTTTCAACAAATTACCTTTCAATTTACGCTTTCGGACCTGTCGTCAGACCATTCGCCAGTGCTAATAACTCTTCTTCAAAGCACAAGAACCACAGATCACCCTCTCAGGCTGACGTCGCACAGAGCCAACTGGTTAAAATATAAAAAGTATGTAAGCTCACACATCAATTTAATCCCTCACTTCAACATCGAAGCGGACATCGACTGCTCTACCGATGCTCTTGAAGAAGTATTCGTGGAGGCAGCCACTATCTCAACACCACAAGGCAGGGACGCGCAAACCAACCACTTCAAAACTAATCTGCAAATTGAACGGTTAGTCCTAGAAAAGAGACGCCTGCGACGTGCCTGGCAAACCAACAGATCGCCGTCATCAAAACAACGTCTTAAGGAAGCCACTCGCTCACTAAATCGAGCTCTAAAGCAAGAAACAGGAAATGCACAGCTGCAGTACATTAAAAAACTATCGCCAACCAGTACAAAACATCCTCTGTGGAGGGCTCACCCAAATCTGAGCTCTCCAATCGAAACAGTCACTCCGATAAGAAACTCATCTGGCATCTGGGCCCGCAGCGACGAAGATAGAGCCGAAACTTTTGCGTTTCATCTAAGAAACGTCTTCCAGCCGAACCCTGCCACTGGTTCATTTTTCCTACCACAAATCGAATCTGAATCTATTTCCCTACCACCATTGTTTCAGCCAAAGGAGATCGCGAAAGTCATTGGGGAACTGAAACCAAAAAAGGCCCCTGGCGGTGACCAAATAACCCCAAAAATGTTAATTGAAATTCCAAACTCTGCCATTGAGGTTATCTGTAAGCTCTTCAATGGGATTATAACTCTCGGCTACTATCCGAAAAAATGGAAAAAATCTATTATCATTATGATACCGAAGCCCGGAAAAGACCACACAATTCCGTCATCCTACAGACTAAGCTGTTCGAAAAATGCCTTCTAACTCGCATAACACCATATCTAGGAGCAAACAATGTTATCCCTGCTCATCAATTTGGATTTCGTCAAAACCATGGAACAATCGAACAAGTTAACAGAATAACATCAGAAATACGCACAGCCTTTGAGCATCGGGAATACTGCAGCGCAATATTCCTCGATGTATCTCAAGCCTTCGATCGAGTATGGCTAGATGGCCTCATGCACAAAATCAAAACACACTTACCTGATTACACTCACAAGCTTCTTGAGTCGTATCTATACAACAGGACCTTCGCAGTAAGGTGCAATACAACAACATCCGACGACTACATTATCAAAGCTGGAGTCCCGCAAGGAAGCACGCTAGGGCCTACTCTGTTCCTCCTATACACAGCGGATATTCCCACGAACGAGCAGCTAACAACATCTACGTTCGCTGACGACACCGCAATTTTAAGTCGCTCGAGGTGCCCAGGCCGAGCCACAACACAGCTAGCAAACCACCTCCTCGTAGTAGAGAGGTGGCTATCTGATTGGCGGATTAAAATAAATGAACAAAAATGTAAACACATAACGTTTACTCTCAACAGGCAAACATGCCCTCCACTATTATTGAATAATACGCAGATTCCCCAAGTCAACGATGTAACGTATCTCGGCGTCTACCTTGACAGACGACTAACCTGGAGAAGACACATCGAACGCAAGAAAGTACATCTAAAACTAAAGGCCAGCAGCTTCCACTGGATTCTTAACGCTCGTTCGCCCCTGCGTCTGGACTACAAGGTTTTGCTCTACAACTCCACTCTCAAGCCCATCTGGACATATGGCTCCCAGCTATGGGGGAACGCCAGCAGAAGCAACATAGACATTATACAGCGCGCTAAATCGAAAATCCTGCGAACTATCACTGGGGCACCATGGTATATTCGCAACCAAAACATCCACAGGGACCTAAGCATTCTTACCGTTAAAGATGAAATAGGCAAACAAAAGGCGTCCTACAACGAAAAACTCTCTGTGCACTCCAATCGCCTCGCAAGAGGCTTGACTTGGCTTCCAGCCGATCCCGTCTACAACGCAACGACCTGCCAAGCCAGCTATAACTTTCGGGCCCCTTTAGCACAACATCAGTCATACGACTGTGAGTTAGATTAATTAGTCTAAGATTTGATACACTTATTGTTAGTATCCAAAGGGAGAAGATTCAATAAATAAATAGCAAAGCAAAAAAAAAAAAAAAAAAAACAAAATAGAGTCAGAAAGCTAATTTAATTGTTTTGAATTTGCTTTCGAGGGTGGGTCTATCACGATCTATTGCATTTTTAACATCTGTTTTCTAAGTATAATATATTGATTTATCTCTACCAAACTTAAGTTTAAGATAAACATTCAGACTATTACGTTGAAAGAAAAAATGATTTCCTCAAAAATTGAAGAGTTCTTAAGGGAGCATGGAAGTAAGATCTTCAAGGAACATATTACGAAATTGAAATCATTTCATAAATTTTTTAAAGATGTAGAAGCCACCCCAGTAATTCATTCCAAGTATGGAGAACACCTATCATCCTGTGCATGGGCATATGATGATTGTAAAGTTTGACCTGACGTTTGCAGGTGTATGCATGTTGAAATGAAAGAAGAAGATGCCTTTAAATAGATGGAAAGATACAATAATTTATTTAAAATACTGAATGGAAACTAATTTAACACGAATATGATTAAATAAAAACGTATTTGACTAAATAAACGATCTCATTTGTTTTTGTGTATATTCTGTTAGGAACCACCACCACCTCCACTATAGAATTGAAACATTTAAGAGGTGGAGAGACTCGCCTTCTCTAATTGTTCATCATGATTCGCACTTATGTATTGATTCGGTTGGTTTAAATGTATTTTAATGCATTTTGAATGCTTTCAATGTTTTTTTTTACTTTCACTTGTTCTTCAATTGTATTACTTAAGGCTATTGGTCTTTGGTTACGCATAGGTTCACTTTAGCTTCGCTTCGCTCTATTAACACATTTATATTGCATCACTACTTTCTCCGACGTATGCTATTGGTCGCTACGCCTCTAAATGGATGGCTCCTACAGCTGAACAAATTTCAGGAGCATACTGCGTCCACAAACATCATAGTATGTCGGATGTCGTCGTTATTGTTGACCTCTCCACGTTCGTTGATGACAATGGCGGCGCAGGTTCGACACTGTAAATCTTTATTGTCGCCATCGCAATGTACTTATTATTAATGCCAGTGCTTCTCCACACACTTGTAGTAATAGTTTTATTTTAGACAAACAGGTATTTCTTTATTAAGTTCCCAATTCCGAATGTTTCGCTTAAGCTTAAGTCTGGTTAATGAGCATTCGACAGCAGAGGAGGAAAAATACACAATACAATACAAAAATAGACAATGGAATTGTGCATATATTCACCACGCTGGCAACCAATTAAATCCCCCCTTAAGGCGCTTTTGCTGAATGGGCAGTTGAGATGCCAATATTTTTATAGACTACTTCTTGCCCATTAGTCTTATGCGAATATATTAATATTCGCTATTTAAGCCAAAGGGGAATGCAGTGCGCCCGACATTTAAATAGTATTCAAGTAAGTCGGCCTGTGTGTGAAACATACCAACACAGCGACAGTTACCAATGGACTTTGGACTTTTATATATTTATAATTTAATGTTACAGTGTGTACCCCGATATGTGCGCATCCTACAACACATAAGATTCTTTCGAACTGCAAATGTGTTTCTCCTCAAGGACTGTGGATATGGTGGCTGGTCCTGATGGCAGAAGACTCCGTGGACGACTACCCCCTGGGAAAGTCGCCTTCCCTCGGAGCTGCCGGCTCCCGTCAGCAACACACCCCAAATGAATTTCTTCCTTTCCCTATTTGTCTAAGGTCTTTTATACCAGACTAGAGCTTTTACTTGTGTGCCGGTATGGATCGGATCACCTAGGTGTTTCCAGCTAGGTTTACTATTTTTCGATATCTGCTATCTTGGGAGTCAACGGCCGGCTGTTGCCATTTACCAGCTACCGGAGTATGGTTACCAGTAGGTCAATCGTGGCCGTTGTTCTGGCCACGTGACACCCGAGAATTGCCGAATTGCATTTTCTTCTGCTTTTACCAGTATGAGTCTGGTAAGTCACATGCACCACTCCCCCTGGCTAAAGATTCGTCGTTGTTTCACTATGTGAATCCCTCTACGTGGAGGGCGTACGTAACATACTTTCTAAGGGGCGTGATGTTGGTCGCGGCGTCTCTGAACAGAGCGCTTGTAGATCTTAACGACTTTAAGGATCACCAGAACCCGGAGTTATCCAACGTTGTGTTTCATAGTCTTGTATATCATCCTTGTGGTCAACGATCTCCACGGTGTTAATAACGTTGGCGGTGCTGACGGCCAATTTGGACGTTTTGCTGCACATCTTGAAGTCCTTACGGATCCCAGGAGTAGTCCAACGTTGAGTTTCATGGTCTTGTTAACATCTTGTATATCATCCTTGTGGTCAACGATCTCCACGGTGTTAATAACGTTGGCGGTGCTGACGGCCAATTTGGACGTTTTGCTGCACATCTTGAAGTCCTTACGGATCCCAGGAGTAGTCCAACGTTGAGTTTCATGGTCTTGTTAACATCTTGGATATCAACCTTGTGGTCAACGATCTCCACGGTGCCGGCCACCTTGGACGTTTTGCTGCCCATCTTGGGGTTCTTAGGCCATATACTTGATTCACTTATACTCTTCGTCCTTCGGGGTGAGACTTTCTTCGAGTTGTGGTCGATTGCAGGACCGGTAAGAAGGAGTTTCTCCCAAATAATGTCGGCTTCCAGGAAAGGATGGGAACGTCCTTCGGGACACTAGTCTTCTTCCAATCGTGATCCTCACTTCAGGGGAGTTGCACTTCTAAGCCAGTGCCAGGGAGATCAGAACAAATTCTGTCTATCTTCTCTAATTGTCTGGGGTCTTTTATACCAGATTAGAGCTTTCGCTAGCCCCCCATATTGGATGAATTAACAAAATGATCCCACCAAAGGATAATTAGGAGTCAACGGCCTGCTAGTGCACCTTGCCACCTACTGGATTAAGGTTACTAGTAGGACGATCGTGGTCGTTGTTCTGGCCACGCGACACCCGTGAGTTGTCGAATTGTATTGCTGGTTTGCCCTTATCAATCTGAGTGTGGTTAGTCATTAGCCACTGAACAGATAGTAACCGTCTAATAACAGCTCATAACAGTTAATAATAGCAAATAACCAAAGTCCAAGCAGCTCAACCCCCATCAGGAATCAGGCAAACCAGATGATCATTGTAATTAAAGAGATTATTAAACTTATTCAAAATACTCTGCTATCTTAGACAAAGATGCTACTCATTGTCCCCTACTGTAGATACTTAATTACTAACACCTCTCCTTGACTTATCAGGCCGATCATGTGTTTTCGGTATCTGAACGTTCTGGGGGTGCTACAAATGCATGTTTTGTGATATTTATTTCTTTTATTTATTTCTTTTTATAGGAGAAATGATAAAATCTGTGTTTTAAGCGAAGGATAATAACCGGAATATTATTTTGTTTCTTAGAGAGTTTGGTAACAGTTCACCAAAATGGAGCTTAAAAAAAATTGTATACAAATATAATATAATATATAATATAATAATATATAATGAAACGTTTACAATAATAACAAGGAAGAACGCTATAGTCGAGTACCTCGACTATCAGATACCCGTTACTCAGCTAAAGTGACCAAAGGGAAATGGAGATATGCAAGCAGCAAAGCGAGAATAAAATGCGCCACCTATCGGCGGTAGACAGATTTAAGCGTTATGGGCGTTAGAGTGGGCGTGGAATATTTTTTTGGATCAATCGATAGGTATTGACGAGAACAATACATTTCAGTTACAATTTTTTATCTAGCATGGAAATTGTGGGCGTCACAGGTTTGTGGGCGTTAAAGTGGGCTTGGCAAACTTTTTTTTGGGTCAATCGAAAGGTATTGATGAGAACAATACATTTCAGCTAAAACTTTTATTCTAGCATCAAAACTGTAGGAGCCACAGTTTTGGGAGGATTGAGGGCGTTAGAGTGGACGTGGCACTCTGCTGAAACAAACTTGCGCTGAGAAAAAAGCTCAGGAATCTGCACGCCAAATCTCAATAGCGTAGCTTTTATACTTTCCGAGATCTCAGCGTTCATCCGGACAGACGGAGATGGCTAGATCGACTCAGCTAGTGATCGTGATCAAGAATATATACACTTTATGGGGTCGGAGACGCTTCCTTCTGCCTGTTACATACTTTCCGATGAATCTAGTATACCCTTTTACTCTACGAGTAACGGGTATAACAACGAAGAACGCTGTAGTCGAGTACCTTGACTATAAGATACCCGTAACTCAGCTAAAAGAACCAAAAGGAAATGGAGAAATGCAAGCAGCAAAGCGAGATCAAAATACGCCACCTACCGGCGGTAGACAGATTTAAGCGTTATGGGCGTTAGAGTGGGCGTGGAAAATTTTATTTTCGATCAATCGATAGGTATTGACGAGACCAATACATTTCAGTTAAAATTTGGTATCTAGCATAAAAATTGTGGGCGTCACAGGTTTGAGCGGTTTGTGGGCGTTAAAGTGGGCGTGGCAACATTTTGTTTGAGTCAATCTAAGGGTATTGATGAGGACAATATATTTCAGTTTAAATTTTTATTCTAGCATTAAAACTGTAGGATCCATAGTTTTGGGCGGCCTGTGGGCGTTAGAGTGGGCGTGGCACTCTGTTGAAACAAACTTGCGCTGCGTAAGAAGCGCGGGAATCTGCACGCCAAATCTCAATAGCCTGGCTCTTATAGTTTCCGAGATCTCAGCGTTCATCACAGCGTTCATCCGG